CGCCGAAACCCCCGCTGGGAAATTAAGTCAGGAGAAGTAACTGCTGAAGTTATCCAACTCTATCTTGAAGCAAGAGCTTTGTGTGTCTTTTTGAAAGTCTTGGCGAGGATTACCACAGGACTCGCGTTGAGACGCTGCATCGCAAATTCAAAGAGGTCGTAGCTTCAGCTGGGAAAGATAAATACAGACTTCAGAGCTGCGGCGCGTTCGACTCATTGAAAGATTTCATCTAAAGATTTCCCCGAATGAGATATAATTTGTCAGTTTACTAAAAATAACCAGTTAGATAATCTCAATCTTTCTAACTGTCCATCCAATGCAGATAAGAAGTACCCTGCCTCCGACTGTCTGCACTCGGCACAATGAGTCACAGCGCTGTTTTCCCAAAAGGATATGCAACACTGTCCAAATATTTTTGGAGTTCATTACACCTGATTGATAAAATCCCCGCAGTGTCGGTGTGCTTTCTGTGTTTCCTGCCACACACAAAGAAATGTGGTTAGATTGGCTCTAAAAGATCGTTGTACAGTAAAAGGATTTACGGTTACGTAATGCAATTCAAACAGATCTAAATCGAGACTATTCCCATCTCATCCGACGCCATTCTAATCTTTGGAGCTTTTAGTCATATTATTTAAGATACTTTTTCTTAATCATAATTATGAGGCACATGTCGAAATCAGCTCAGGCACTAGAAAGTGCTCATGTGGATCTGCATCAGATTGAACGTTGTGATCAATAATTGTGGGATACATGTGCCAGATTCATTCATTGTTTCAGTCAAGTAAGTGCAGCAGCTCATCTTGGTTGTTTTTAAAGATGAATCTTTCACTCAGAACTGCCACGTTTGTGATCTGGGATATGAAAACATAGCCTCTCTGGTTTGAGGGGAATATCTTAAATCAAAGGAAGCACATTCAGCGTTTAAAAGTGCAATTGCTGTTTGAATTGCATGTTAACCCTCTCTGCAGACATTTGTGTCGAAAAAAATTGCGAGTCAAAGCGTCAACTGACAATGAGTCCTCTTTGAAATAGGAAAAGAAGCTGCTCGGTGTCTAACCCTTAAACATAATCATCTGTTGTTCTTGTGACGGTTGAAGCTACAGTGTGCTTCAGCTGCAAATGTCTGCACGCGCTGTCGCTCTGCTTTATTAAGTCAAAAAGCCCGAAATGTCTCATCAGCACCGAAGAGACGGCTGTGAGAACTCTTAATATCGCTCATCATTGATGCTTCTTCTTCCCCGAGGACAGCGGGAACAACCGGGGCGACAAATGATTTGGATGTGAATTGAAAACATGTCGAGTATGGATTTTCTGGATTTATCCGTCACTTAAATGTTTCATTGAGAGAACGCAGGCCTACATTAAACTAATCCCCCCCCCCCCACCCCTCCCCCACAGTGTTGGGAGTTAACCGGCATGTGTGGAAATGGATAAATGGATTGCTGTCAGATATCTCTCCCCCCTAAATGTCAGAACCGGCACCTCCAAGCATCAGAACTAGAGTCTCCCCAGCAGCACTTCCTCACATCCTTAGAAAGTAGAGTCTCAGAGTGTCAGCGGAGCGGACCCCGAGGCTTAATGTCAGCAAATTAATTATGGATTCACCCAATTAGTTCACAAACTACACTGTGTTACAGAGAAAATGATCATTCCCCCCAAATGACTCGTCTCTTCAGTCTTTGCCCCAGTGTGCATGGTGCCTCGCTCAGAAGTGTGTGTGTGTGTGTGTGTGTGTGTGTGTGTGTGTGTGTGTGTGTGCGAGACACACAGCAGGCAGGTAGCCTGACCTTTTTAATTATTCAGTCTCTCAAACTCCTCCACTGACGCTCTGTTAGCCGGCTCTCACTCTTGCCTCCTTCCTGTCCAAACACATTTCCGTCCGTCTCAAACAAAAGGAATGTGATCCGTGTCAGCGCGTGAACTGTGTAACTGTAATGACTCTGTTTGACTGTGTGAGATGGCCTCAGATCAGTGTCTAATAAAGTAAGTAATCACCGCTTTCTAATGAGAGGCTTGTCAGGGGCGGTGTCTGTTTACCAAACCAAATTATTTTCTTTATTCCCCGCAAAGTCAATTAATCACATCGGAGAAAATTCTGTTAGTGTTTTGCCTCTCCGTGTTGGAAGACGGATGGCATCAGCTGGGGCGTCGCCATTAAATTTCATCGCGTTACAAGAAGATGCCGTCGCAAATTAATTCAATTAGTTTTTCCGCATTCTCTCGCGGTTTAAAGTCGTAAACGTCAGGGCGCAGACAGCAAATAGCGATTACTTTCCGTCACAAGTTCCCAGAGCCCGAAAGTGGCGTCTTCCAAATAGCTTCTTTTGTTTCCAACAAGATTTAATGAAACAGACAAAAAAAGGGACAAATGATTAATCTATCGTGGAAATTGTTAGTTAAGGACATTGTCAACTAACAGAAAATTCTCAAATTTTTTTTTTTTAATTAACCTTTTGAGAAATAACCTCCATACCAGCTAGTGTTCCTCACAATAGATTGCCTTGTCGTGTCTCTACCCACAAAATATGCTATAATGATAATAATACAAAATATGCTGTCTCTCTATATATTGTGCCGTGTTAAGCTCCTGCCCCTCCCCCACCTCTGCACACCGTACCCGGACAGTGGTCTCCGTGTGCGGCTGACATTGAGCAGAGTTGGTGGACGGTGGCTGTGCTCACAGCGTCCTTGTGAGGAGACAGAGGCGGCCATCACAGATATGGATTTCTACGTTTTAATGTCTCTGCCTCTCGCGCACAAATGTTTCTCTTTCAATGAGCCGGGGGCTCCACAGGCAGGGAGTTTTATCGATCACCTGACTTTTAATGCCTCTTAAATATTAAGATTCATGTATATGACCTTTGTGTTTGGATTGGGAGTGCAGAAATCCCAAATACCCTTTCAGGCCCTGCTGGCTGCACCGCTGGCTTTGTTTCAGCTTTTCTTTTGAATCATTTTGAATTTGTTTTCAATAAAAGCATGGGGGTCATGCTCGGTCATTTAGTTTTTTTTTTTCAAGCAGAGAATTGGAGGTTAGAGAAGAGGGGATACGAATTCGGGAGAATCTGTGAGCGCTCGTTTTCTCTACTTCCCTCCCTCTCTGTCACTCTCTCACACACACACACACTAGTGGACAGCCCCGGTAGAGGGCCCGGTGATTGTCTGTGTGTGAGAGACCTCAGAGGCAGCAGCACTGCAGAGAGAGATGGACACATGAAAAGGAAGGAGGAGGGACAGAAGTGAATCAAGTGAGAGGGCGAGGCCTTCCAGCAGCCCGTTAGCATACTGAAGCCAGAGTGATGCCTTGTGGGAAAGCACACTCTGGAAGTGACCCGCGCTGTGCAGCATCCTCACGTCAGAATAGACTGAGACTTGAGAAGGCAGCAGAAGGTACTCCGTAGTGTCCAGTTGTGTTTGCTTTCAATGTTTGTCACCAAAACACATGTCTATCCTTGAGGTCTGACAAACGTGATTTAATGCTTTTCTTTTCTCATAAAATATTTGCAAAGGTGCTTTTTCAATTATTTGAAATTGTGTGAGAATGCAACTAACTACTACTACCATGATTAGTCGTGATTTGGCAATTATTCTCTTGAAAAAAAAAACATAAACAGTGAAAAATGATCAATCGCAAGCAAATGGTGACATCATCAGACATAATTGATTGGCAATCGATCAACTAAATGGGTCTTTGTTGGGACCCTGATCCCTCACAGATAACGATGGACGGTGCTGTGTTTTTTCCTTCTTGTCTTCCGTCCCCTCTTTTCTTTCCCACAAACGACCGATGAAGCCTTCCAGTTGTGTCTCTTTGCCCCGATGCTTTCTGGCAGAGAAAGAGACGTTTTTGTGTCGTCAGTACTTTTCTGAGCGGAGAGGCGCTTCTGGCACCGGTCCTGGACGAGAAAGATGTGGAATCTTGAGTTTTCACTGCAACATTTAATCCCGTTGTGTTGCAATCGTTTTACTCTAATTCGCTAAAATGCTGATCCTCACTGTGCACTTTATGCACTGCCAGAAAAAAAGAAGCATACCCTTTTGTTTTCTCTCTAACAAACATGTGTTTGTATGTATATGTGCCTGCGTGTCTGCCAGCGATACAGAATTGAAGGCTTTGTCGAGCCTGAATTACCGATGTAATCTGAAATACCAAGGACGATCAAAGTTGTCAGCTCAAATATGTTCAAAGTAAATAAAATAACAAAGATAGTTGTTTTGCCTTTTCCATTAGAAAATGTATTTTTGTGAGCCCAGAGGAGAAATATGGATGCAATGAATCAACACTACATGGTACAGAGGTGTAGGTAGGATCATGTGCTCCTCTCTGAGTAGATTCTAACTACCCTCTATTGGCCTGAATGTGTCATTACACTACAGTCCGTCAACCTTCAGGTGCAGCAGCATCAACTCGACAATCTCTCCTCTCAACTTCCATCCGCTTGTTTCACATTTTGCATCGACATTTGTCAGATGAATGCCTGCGCTCTCTTTTGTTTGTGAACGGCTTTGAGGGCACAATAAGAGAGCGGGGGGGGGGGGGGGGGGGGAGTAGATTGCTGTTTGCCATCGGAGTCGAGATGCCTCAAATGTCACGGCGATCAATGAGAAATGTGACGAGTCAGATGAGTGTTTGTCAGTGAAAGAAAACACACTTCAAATGGGGGAAAAGTGGAGCTTTTAGAGCGTGGAAGCTTTGCCACTTTTTAGAGCAAATGGGGCACTTTGTCACCAACTGTGTGTGTGTGTGTGTGTGTGTGTGTGTGTGTGTGTATGAGAGAGAGAGAATGTGTGTGATTCTCTGTATATCTATCGCCTGCAGCTTCCCAGGATCTTTGTGAGCTAGAGGCTGAGTGACTTTGTAGTCAAGGACCCTTTAATGCCTTCCTGAGTTTTTGTGCTTTTACATCAATAATGTGTGTATATATAAAGTGTGTGTGTGCGTGCGCGCCAGTGTTGTGTTTAACCAGGTTTTTTCTGTTTTTGTGCCTTTCCTGCAGGTGTATGTGCCGAGGCGGTATGCCCCGGGGAATAGTGCTGACAGTGCACTAGGAGTCTGAACCTTGCCAGTATTTGCGGCTGAGGAGGAGAGGTGCCGAGCTGTGCCGTGCCGAGCCGTGCCGTCCTGTGCCGCGCTGTGCTTGACGCCATGTCCGTGACTGACAAACACAAAGTGAAGAGGCAGAGGCTAGACCGGATCTGCGAAGGTAAACTTATGAGTATGTGTCCGTCCTTAACTTCTTACCATCACTCACTGCTCTCAAAGAGTCACACTTTCCCCAACAAACACTTGAGTTCTCAACACATACAAGTAGGACTGCAGAGTCGCATCGTATTTACAATCAAGATTTTGGACTTCACAGTTAATTGAACTTGATGTTGTTTAGAGCTCCAGTGCATCTGTAGGATTATTGTGATGAATAGAAGCAGTAATAGTTGATGTGAAGAACGTACGGTGTGTTAGGGTTAGACGGTGTCTTCTCTGTTTAAATGGCCAAATGCATTAAGTCTGTTTTCTTCCCAAAGACGGAGAAGTTATTTCATAAATAATCACGGTCTTAGTTGTGAGCAGACTCATTTTGATTAGTATTGAGCAGTAATCCAGTCAGCTCTGATTGGATGATTTTCATTTCAAAATACAGAAATAGATATCACGGTTTAAACTGACTTACATTTGGTTGATTTTTGCTATTTACGTTACATATTGTTTCAACATCCTTTCAATGTATTTCAAATGTTGAAAACCCAGATGATGAAAAAAACCTCTACAAACCACTTAATCGCTCACAGTCACCATACTAATAAGTCATATTTTGTGTTATTTTGCTCACCATACTCGCAGCATTTAGTTTTTAATATATCTGACCGATACTGCTTCAGAGCTACACATCCCCCATCCAACCGTCCTTATTGTAAGCACAACCCTGAGACCTATCGATGATCGATACTCATTGATCGCTATAGTTTTCTCCTGGCACGCAGCACTTGTCAGATACTACAGTTAACAGTGTATACATTTTGACCTCCACAGCAAACGAGTCATCTGGCGGATGCCAAATGAGATTAGGGAGGCTTTTCCTCTGGCCTCTGTGTGAGCCGCTGCACGAGTGTTTTGTTATGCGACTTGTGGTTATGCAGAATCTCTAAACATCTGAACCGGAGTTAGATTACCTCGGGGGATTGGATGCTTTCTCTCCTGTCACGGCTGTTTTTGGAAGCAGCCAATTTTACACCACGAATGGCAGTGCTCATTAGGCTTTAGGTTGTGGATTAGAGAGCGGCGTTGTATTGAAGGGCCCGAGCATAGAACAGGAGCCCCCCTGCCGTGCGCGTAGCTACAAAGTCGGCCCGGGCAACAAAGAACACGAGTCTTTGTGTGGGTGTATAAACTGCCTCTGAAGCCTTGTGGATGTGCATTTTTGTTAAACCCACTTGTTTGACTTTGCCCAGCGTGTTTTTTTGTGTGTGCGTGTGTCTGTCAGACTGTGTCCTAAGGTAGAATCATCTCCTCTCTGCTGTCTGGGTCCCCGAGAGGCTTGTTAAGCTGCTGGGCCCTCCTGGAGCCAGCGCAGGGAGAGGCAGACATGACTGCAGTGCTGGAAAATGAAGCTAGACGCACCATTACCCCCCCACGGTGCCAGCGTGTTTGTTTTTGCAGCGTGATGTAAGCACCTCGGCACACGAAACGAAGGACATGTGGACCGCGCATACTGTAAAAAGACAATTTAGCTCAAGAAATCCTAGTTTTTTGGTCTCTGCCACTGCGGTGGAAAAGTGATGGTGAACACTGTATCCAAAGTAGTAGCTTGTAGCATTTGAAAATGCATTAGGAGAATACATTACAGTAAAATGCAAACACTTCATTCTGCTTAAAGGCGATCAGGGTTGGAGTCAGAATTTCAGAAAAAGTCTAAAAATCTTTTCCTCAGTTTTTTTTTGTCTGCAAACTTAAAATACTAAAGCTATTTATATTTAGATTTGGATTGTTCATTTTTTGCCTAGAAACTGTTTTTAATCTAAAGTAGCAGAGCCTTAAACCTAAAGAATCTACAGAAATACACTCCTTCGCTTTCTTGCTGCGAGTCAGACGATAGACACCACTGTCACGTCTGAAGGTAAAACCAGCAGCTGGTTAGCTCCGTCCAAAGATAAGCCTGTTACTAAAAGTTCATGGACGTTTCTTTTTTTTTTCTTTTTTTTGCCAGGCCTAGTTGCCAGGCAACCAGCAGAGACTTCAGGAAGTTACTGGTCCTGGGCCAATAATTAATTAATTACATAACACCCTGTAAAAATGCTGAATTGTTGTTTTTTTACCCCTTTCGTACAGATGAAATAATGGAGACATTTCTTTAAGGTTGATTGGTGAGCTTCAGAGAGGGCTGCTCGGCTGATTCTGTTCCCTCTGGACAGAGCCAGGCTAGCTGTCGGCCCTGTTTCCAGTCTTTATGCTAAGCTAAGCTAGCCAGCTGATAGTGTACAGACATGAGTGGTATCAAACCTCTCATCTGTCATTTGCACAGAAGAATTTGACAAGATTATATCACGGACAACAGGCGTCCGCCGAAAGCCCGTCGAGGATCATTTTGAATCCTAAAAGCAGTCGTATTTCACATCACAGGTGGGATCGTTCATTGGTGGGAATCCTTCCTGATTAGAGTTGCGGTCCACATCCAGCTGTTGCGTTCATGTGGAATCAGACAGCTGAGGTAGTTAGTCATTCCTGGGGGGACAACAGTTAGTCTGCTCTGCTGGGCACCAGCTCAAAGCCCACAGGAGACGCACAGAGAGACGGTAACAGGTGTCGCTGTGATGCATGCAGAGCTGCTTCATGGTGAGCGTACCTGCCGACGTTCCTTCTCCCTCTCTCACACTCACACTCACACACACACCCACACACACACTCTCTCTCTCTCCGTCTCTAACTCTCCAGATGGCCATCATACAGGATCAGTGAAACAGTCCTCTGGCGGCCATTGTGAGGGCGTAAAGAAAAAAGAAAAAAAGAAAACAGCTTGTGATTTGCGATTTGTTCATGAGCCAATGACCAGGCAAAGTTGTCCCACTGATCGCATGTAGCGGCCTGATAAGGCTGCCATGGAGATTGTCACCGCACGAGCAGGAAAAACACACATGAAGCAAAAGGCTCTGCTTTTTGTTTCACACGCAGGCAAAAAATCCTCACAGAGCGTACTTGGCTGCTGTCGGTACTAACTCATCCTAATCCAGGTTCACACTTCAAACCAGGCCCACAGTTTGGCAAACAGATCCGGACCAGATGAAGCCGTGATTCCTGCCGTCTCCCCTCAATCTCTTTCAAGTGAAAAAACGTCTGCTGAGACCACACTCTCTCTGCACGGTCCAACAGAGCCTTCGCCTGTCTTTCCATTGTTTTCCCCGACACTAAAAAGACAGTTTCCAACAACATGCAAGGTGTAATTATTTTTTTTTTTATATATATGTATGCATGTTTGGTGGAATAGTTCATTCAGGCTGTTTTGCATCAGCATGTATAGCAGTGGGATCAGTAATGGCGTATCTAAGGAAACCCGGTGGCTATAGATGACAAGACTGATTAAGCCATTAAAGTCCTTGATATGTATTTAGCATAATCTGCCCTGTCTGCAAATAAGGAGGCAGGGAGCTGGTAGCGACTGTTTTTTTTTTTATCAAAAGCTGCTAGTTAGCTCAATCAAAGCAGCTGCTGGGAAGCATCAGCTTTAAATCAGCGTTATGAGGAAGAGAGATGTGCTCTCTCTCTCTCTCTCTCTCTCTCTGGCGTGAAGAGATTCATTCCTGTCATATGAAGAGATGAGGAGTGATCTGCCGTGGCCCATGTTCCTGCCAGCCTCCGGTCCTTTCATGTTCTCGGCTTAATTTGAGCTGAACCAATGTTTATCATTCCGCAGCAACTGGGCCGAGTGGCTGGGAGGGAGGACAGTTCTGCTCCTGATCTGCTTCTTCTTCTCTTTCTTTCGCTCACATTGTTGTTTTGCTTGTAGACTGCAGTACTATTTACCCTCTGGGATAGATTAGCGCTCTAATCTAACCAGATAATATTTTTAATCAACATCTGCATTTTATCCATGTTGTGTTACACGATGACACTTTATGGCTGCATAATTAGGAATATAATTCATCCATATTAGTTGCAGAACAACACACAAAAGGAACTCGGCAGCCAATTGTTCTTCCTAGTGAGGATTATAATATTTTAGAAATAATATATGTAATATTACTTTTAACTAAAACTAAAGACTGCTATGCATCGAGGATTGAAATCGCTCATGTGTGGAATGCTAACATCAAACCCTAATCTTATTCTGTTGGATGAAAAAGAAGACAATACAATGGTCTCCAGGTTTTCTCGAAATTACAAGTGTGGGAGGATATACCTTCCTTTATTAAGCCGTGCATTAACACCACAGGAGAATTCAGTATTCATGTACCCTGCTTACAACCACAGCTTAGTTGAACATATTGGAAAAGTGATCTTTTGTTTAACCAGACTACTTGTCTTTTTTCTTCAGAGATGTGGAGGCAAATTACATTTTCCCTTCTTCTATCCCTTCTTCTTCTTCTTCTCTCTCACTCGCCTGCCCTCCCTCTTCTCTCACTCAGCTGCACACTCCTCCTTGTCTCTCCAAAAAGCAAGCGGGCTGTCGTCTCTCCCTTCTGTCTGCCCCATCTGTGATGCAGTATGGGCCACTGGCTTGGTAATGACGGGCGGGCGGAGCGCGGGGCTGCGCACGAGGCAAAGAGGGGGAAGAAAAACAGACAAAAACAACCCGTCTAAAATGGAAGACAAACCTCTAATCAGTTGTCTCACCAAGTCTACCAAGAGGTCTCGCCTTGCTGATAAAAAAAGGTTTTTGCAGTAGCGGCTCTCACTCGGTCCCACGTTCCTCCCACCCATGCGACCGTGTGACACGCTGTGTCATACGCTGCAGAGATGCGAGGTGGTAAAGAGGCGGAGGAAAAGAGTCTCGCTATCACAGCAGATGTGAACCCTCCAAAAGCCATCGGACCAGAATTGGTACCATGTGTTTTTTTTTTTTTTTTTTTTTTCCTTCCGGCCCCGTACTTGTGTTAGAGTGAGGAAAAAGGCCCAGGGGCTCGTTACAACTTTAATATACTGTACAATCACAGTAATTGAGTAGGATTTTCAAGTTCTTCCAGTCATGGCTTTAATTTATGAAGTCCCCATGAAAGTTTAATGTATCAGCAGTTGTAGAGTCGCAGCTATCTAAATCATTCTGCAGCTATCTCTGCCCGTGCTGCCTGCCAAGTCCCGCCGTTAGCGTCCCGTGCCCTAGAAAGATGGCCAGATTGCTCCAAAGGCACGACTGTTGCCGGACGTCTGTTCAACACATTGTACACCTAGAGGTCTTTCACAGAGCCGTCCGATTGGCTGGGAGCTACCCAAACGGGGTGCTGACACCAATTCTGATGCTGTTCACCCAAAACAAATCCACCGTGTAACTTCAGGGGATTTTCTTCTTCTTCTTCTATTGTATCATCCATGCTAGCGAGCACAGGATCCCTGTTGCTTGATGAGTGTAATATAGCATGCTCACTTAATTATGGAGCAGCTCTCATGAGAGGCATATTAGAGAATGCAGACAATATGAATATGAGGATCCCAGCTCCCCTTTGCTTATGAATCGTGGGGAACGCAGCAATTTGCGTTGCAGGAGATATGATGTGCCATGTCCTCGTTTTGTTTTTTTAGCAACACGAGACCTGACCGAGATGTTTGTTGTTGTTATTAATATTTTGTCAGGAAGCGGGGGATCTGAGTGACACGCGGCCCTGGAAGGGACTTATTATTAAAAGAAGTTATTGTCGGCGATCGCCGTAGAGAGATGCAACACGGTGATTAATGGTGTGTTTTTAAAGCTGACAAAAAAGCGCAGGGAGACTCCAACCTGGGAGGACTGCACTGAGGAATCATTGCGAGGTTTACCTCTAATGAAAGAAGCCATCCTTCAGATGTGCATCACACTGGACTGCTAAGGGCCATAGGGAAAATGAGTGTTCTGATTTATATTTGTTCTGACCTACTTAATGTTCTTCAATTCAGATTTCAGATTTAGACACATTTCTTTTAAATATTATATCATGATTGCATCACTTAAGCATTAAAAGGAAAACAAGCTTGTTACGGCGTGTCCCTCTGTGACTTGACAGGTAGTGGGACAACATCAAGAGACTCAAGACTATCACGGTCGCTTGTCACTCCTAAATAAAGTCGGCCCATCTCGGTCACGCTGTCTCTGCGTCTCAGCTTCAGGACCATACAGATGATGTCCCCGGAGACGCTTCCTTTAAACCCTGGTTCCCTATTTCAAACTGAAATAAAGCACAGAACAGAAACAGGCTTGCGACAGTCTAGTTGTCACAGTCCAGTGCAGTTCAATCATACCCCCTCCCCCCCTCCCCCCCTCCTGCCTCGTCCTATCCCACGCTGTCTGCCTTAGAGGTGAAGTCAAAGCTGGCAGCTTCCCATCTTATCAGCTTTTTTCCCATCACACACTTATCAAAGCTCCCTTTTCTTCTCCTCCTGCCGCAGTTGTTTTGTTTACATTGCTTGTCACGGCACGTAAACACCGGCAGTTATCTCTCAGATGGCAACATCTCCGATAAGACACATCTGCTCTGTTGTACGTCTCTCTGGTGGATGTAGTAGCAAAGTGCGAGCTCTGTGAGCGGAAATATGACTCGACTGGTAAAAGTGAAGTTCATGCTGATTCATTTTCTTTGAAGCGAGCATAGCATGGCCTTATTGTCAGTGTATCATCTGACACTTTGAATAAAAAGAGATTTTTCTTTTGCAACTCCTGTTCGGATTTGCTGCTTTTCACTGCTTTATATCATTGTAAACTGACTATTTTATAGTATTTTTTTATTTTATTTTTCAAAACAAGCTATTTGAAGATGTCATCTTGGAGTCTGGGAAAATTAGATGGCACTGTTTTTCTGAAATAATTCTATTTAGCCCTTAGTGTGAATCAAACTTGGTGGGGAGCTTTTCCCTCTTAACGTGTGTGTGTGTGTGTGTGTGTGTGTGTGTGTGTGTGTGTGTGTGTTCGTTCATATATGTAAATCTGTCGGTGCCCAGTAGAGGAGGCTGTGCATTCTCCATGGTTCGAGTGGAGCATCTCCTGGCCTCCTTCTAGTAGCCACAGGATTAAGTCTGACCCTCAGTCGTGCTCGTGTGTCCAGCCTTTGCAGCCGGCCCTTCCCCCTCTCTCCAGGGACACACTCCAGCAAGCATGTCAGTCCCCAACCTCCCCATTCCCTTGGGGGGGGGGGAAGATCCATTCACGCCCAGGGGGGTTGCCGGGTGCCAGCGAAGGGGTTAGCAATAACCACTAAGCACCGTAAACACTCTAGCTTTACACTCCGTGAGCACATTCAGGGGCCTCAGGAGCGTGCTGGCTGTGTACACTATCTGGTTCAAGTGATGTCAGAGGGGGCAGTGGATTTAAGCAGGTTTTAGTTTGACGCTAATCCCCTTGTAGCAAACGCTGTGGACGAGCGGACCGTCCCTGCCAATGGCGTGCATCAACCCCATTGGATTAGCGCGTCTCGACCCCTCCTCCATTCTGTTTTCATTGTCCAGCATGTGTTTTCACCCCAATTTCTTTACCACTGGTCTTAGTTTTGAATGAAAGCGTGACGCCCAGCACAAGATGATCACTGCTGAACAATGGAGTACAGCCTCGTCCTAAAGGTGTGTTTTTATTCTATTTTCATTGTGTGTCTGTGTGTATGTACTCCCTCTGTGTTTGTCATGTGCCTCTCTCTTCATGGATTTCTAATGTTTCCAGGGCTGAATTATTTAGAGAGCCTGCCAGCAGGGAGCTACATGATAGCACAGCCTTAAGAGTGGGAGGTGTGTGTGGTAGGAGGGAGGGGGGGGGGGGGGCCTACAGCTGCAGATCAGGTAAAAGGGTACCTCATGCTTCACCTTTTCTCCGCTCCTCCCTTTTGATTGGGGGTGAGTGTAACACGAGTGTATTGGGGGTGAGTTGAAACACGATACACGGCTCTATTTTCCGCTTTTATAGCCGCCTGCTTCACTGCCTTCACCGATGCCTAACTCGTGTGAGCGGTCGCATTTTGTTGGCTCTCTGGGCCAGAGTGGTCCTGAATGGTCTGAAGGTGAGAACGACAGGGCCGCAAGTCGCTGTCACAACTGTGGCACCATTGCGGGGCGAAGGAGTTCTTTGCCATTGGGTGGGGGAGACCGCGGAGTGTGGTTCCACCGTCACCTAGATCTCGGTGAGAAACAGGATCCAGACCTCCAATCCTCCCTGTACAGGCGGATCCAGCAGGACCGCCACGGGGAGCAGTTGCTGAGGAAGAACTCTGTGCCCGACCGAAGCAACTACCTCAGGCAAGTGATGGCCGGCCGGGCCTCTGCACCGCCTCAGGATTACTACCTGGCCGACACTACCTTATCTGGTCAGCTACCTGAAGAGTCTGGGTTTTATAGGGATAACCGGCACCTGCTCACCAGATCAGCCTCGCTTTATGGGCCCAGCTCTGGTGGAGTGAGACCTACCTGGGATCAAGGACATGCAAGGGCCACCTCCTCCATGCTGCCCTCTGCGTCAACACCTACCCCCGTGCCTCCTCCCCCTCCACCGCCTCCTCCGCCACCTCCTCCCCTTCCCGTTCACGAGCTGAGCCGTTTGTACAGGGAAACTCTCGGATCTAAGATGATCCCAGACATCCACCGTATTGGTGGCAGCTCTCCCTCTCCTGGATTCTACGGGGTTTATCCCCCTCTTCCTGTTTACGCTGCTGAGTCACCGTCTTTCTCTGCTCACCAAGCTTATAACAATTTCAACAGCTTGTCCCTGGATCCCCGCCAGCCAGCTGCCATCAGTTCAGTGGTGGACACAGGTCCTCAGGGAATGGACGGAGCTTACCCTCGGGGTTATGGAGCTGTAGCCTCCCAGAGGCTGCCTTATGACCCAAATTATGACCCCAGCTCAGCCATGGTGGCAGCAACAGCTGGAATGACATCCAGCCTGCCTCATCATCTGAGTGCTGCAGACCCCAAGAAGATGGTGGACCCTGCCTTCTTGGCTTTCCTGCGAGGTGAAGGCTTGGCTGAGAGCACCATCACTCTCCTGCTGCAACATGGCTTCGATTCCACTGGCATGTTGGGAATGATGGAGGACCACGATGTCCGCTCTGTGGCCCCCAACTTGGCCCAGGCCCGCGTCCTGTCCCGCGTGGCGCTCGGTTGCAAGGCGAGCGGTATGGTCACGCGTGCCCGATCCAACAGCTTCGGCAATCGCAACGATTTCTACATGCAGCCCCAGGGTTTGACAATGGACCCCAGCCTGATGCAGCAACATCCCAACACCATCCAAACCGTGTCCCCCAGGATGGGAGAGTTTCTTGGTAGAAGACCCAGCAGCGCACCCTCCCAACACCTCCTGGAGACCACCACCTACCCAGCAACACGACCCCTGACAACTGGAGCATTCCCAATCGGCCCTGGAGGATATAGCAGTGCTGTGACTCAGGGAAGACCCTTCTCCATGTACAATGCCCACACCGGTCTTGCCATGTCTGCTCTTGGACAGCAGCCTCCACCAGCTCCGGGCACTCCTGGAGCGGTGCCCAAAACCTTCTCCGGCTCCTACTCCCCCATGGAGCTGATGAAGAGGGCACCCAACCTTCCCCTGCCATCGCCAGTAGCGGCGCCGAGCCCCCTTCACAGCCCCCAACTTCTTCGGAAAGGGATCAATGCTGCACCCGAGAGCATCAATACTCCTGTAACTTCTTCAACGCTCTACGTGCAAAACCTTAACAACACCAAGATGGTAGGACGTCGCACTGGTCCACCTGTCATAGTCTCAACCATGGCCACCACGCCCGACACAAGTAATGTCAAACCTCACCTTTCTCACTCATTTCTTCAAACCCTCTCTCCCCTGTCCTTGTTGCTGATTTTTCTGTAGGTTTTTTAGAAATAATTATTTTTTCTGAAAGTCTTTTGTCTTCGATTAGATGCACAGTTGGATTTAATTCTGTATATGATTGACAGATCTTTGGCATAGTACAAAACATCCGAGTGACAGTCTTTTTTTGAACGGAGTAGCAGCATGTAAGATGCATCTGACAAGTTAAGCAGCTTTGCTCTGAGAGTTCTTTTTTTAAATTACGCAACTATTTATACATGTATTGCAACAAGGTTGTGTCATTTGCCGGAGGGCATCCTGTCTCATCACCAAGTTGAAACGTTTCTTATGAGCAGCACTCCAGTTATTGAGGTCAACGTTATTTTCTGGTATTTTCTTTCACTTAGTTTACTGGTCAGAATCCTTTTTGAAGCAACAGTGTGCTTTTTGTAGCTCCACATTGCTTCTTCAAAGTTTCTTGTACAATTTAGACACTTTAATACAGGATGTTGTTCACTAGCTGTCCTTTTAATAAACTCCTCTAACTGTTTTTTACAAGACAAGAGTTGGTAAATGTCTTCAAAAGTTTACTTCTATGATGCAGAGTTGCTGTCATTCTATTTTACTCTGTACTCTCACCTAATCGTGGGCTTAGCTGCTTTGAATCCAATTACACTAATTGGATATATAGTTGTATGGACTATAATAAGTAGCCGTTTTTTAAAGACACCCTGTGTTCTGATTGCACTGCCGCTAAAAGTTCTTTCATTTATTAGTTTGCTATACTTACAAACAAACTCAGTAACATTTGCTCTCTACCCGCTCAAACTGAACTTATTTGAAAGTACATTTTTTCTGCTCTATGCTCTTTTTTTTTTTTTTTTTTTTTAAACTAATTGTGAAGAATTGATTTTCATTTCTATAGAGCGAAAGTAATGATGAAAGAAATGTTTCGCTTTTGATGGTCTCGCAACAGTGCTGGTGCATACAATATGGCAAGACCAAATTTACCTTTTTGATTGCTTTCTACAATGGTGTATTCTTGTTAATCACACATTCCTGGGAATATGTTAATGCTCTCCCTGAATACATAATTATGTAGATTGCTGTGTAGAAATTGTTTGTCTCATACAAGGTTAATACAAGTGGTGTGGCAGATTTTTATGCTCAGTTTAGTGTGAGGGTAAATTCTCCAGCAAGACATCATCTGAGCTTATGTTTATACATAAAGGCCTTAACTTCTCCCTTTGAGAAAATGGATATATTCCCTGCTGATGAGATCTGATGAGCTATAGAAAGAATGAAACCTTCTAGCCTTTCTTTTACACCATGTAACCCTATGTCTTGTGAGCCTCTCTAACAGGTCTGCGCGTTGCTGCACTTGTTATAGAGTAATGACTTTTATGAAGTGGCATCCCTTCAACTGTTGTCAAGGAAATAAGAAGCGAAATGTGAGATTTGGGGGGAAGGGGTTGTGGGAAGTTACCCCCCCCCACACACACACACACTTGCACATGCACGCGGACAACATTTGCATGTAGCTGACATTAGTTGCTTCAGTAACTTCATCTGATAATGGGCGGCCCTTGCCGCCGATTGGCAAGCATACTTCTTAATTGTGTGTTGCTAGGCAACCTCGGTTTCAGTGGTAATCAGAGAAAGATGATCTTCACATTTAAGGAAAAGGGGAAAAGTGAAGCCCCCTATGCAGTGTTGTACATTTATTTTGTTCACTTGTTGCTCTTCTTTTCTTTTTTTTGTTTGGAGCAGGCGAAAAATTAGTGAAAATAATAAGATGTTGCAGAGCACTTAATGAAAACATCTCTCTGTCTCTCTCTGTCTGTCTGTCTCTCTGTCAGTGCACATCTCAAGAGATTGCTTCTCTTTTTTGTGCAAAGGCTTTAGCACACCGGTGAAGAGCCTCTCTTATTACATGCACGGCGTTTTATGTTCAAACATGCATATTGATGAAAAGTTGACACGTTATTCCTTTTTCTACCTCCTGAATAAATCTGTTGTTCTTCCAAAACAAACCAGTCTTCTCTTTATCATCTCGCATCAAAGTGGACATCTACACATAGCTGCATTTCCATGTCGTCAAATTCTTATTCAGAGTTTTGAAAGCAAAGCTGTGAGCTGCGGTGGAGTCGGAAGCTCCTTTAAAATATTCATGTTAAAGGTGCAGGTGGGAGGGCCCTGCCTGTGTACTCCTCTCTGCTGGGCGCTGTCTTGGTTGGCTGAAGCCATAAGTAGCGTTAATAATGGCATTAAACGGTTGAGTCGAGCTTAGTTGCAACAGTTCCCTTTCACCCAAAGTAGGGAGAGACGCCTTGCAGCACTGGCATTGGCCATGGAGTTGTCTGTCAGTAGCGTCCCACAGAGCGGCACAGGTGGGTAAACCGAACTTTGATGTCACGTGAAGCAGAATAGCCAACCCGGTAGTTGGAGACGTGACTTGCTAGCAGCCTGCGTTGTGTGCGTGCTCGGTAGATTAAACTAAGGTGGACGCCTGCATGTTGTCCACAAATGCCAGCACGTGGTCTTCCTTGTGGAGATAATCCACAGGAGATCTTCAGCTGTACTTTTCTGGGCTGGAGAATTAGGAGGCGGTGGTGTGTTTGGGGGGGGGCTTGTAGTTTACAGGAAGGAGACACCAGGACTTGGCAACAGCCCGCCGTAGCCATATGGAATGTGTCAAGTTGACGTGTTCACCTGTGTAAGTGCGCTCTCTTGGTGCCACTGTACCCAGGTTGTATCCGCTCTGTTCCTGGGAGGGTTAGTCAAAAACATGACAGATCCCTTTTTCCTCCTCTTTCTTTGACAGGAAGCCATCAGGTGCTGCTGACAGTTATGTAACCTTCCAGTACATTGCTCCCATGAGAGCCTGAATGCCATTTTAATTTCCCTGCCCGTATTTGGAAGGACATCCACGAGGATGCATGCCTAATTTTGCTCATCTGACCTTGGCGAAACTTCTGTGTTCAGGTGTGTGACATTGATTTCAGTGTGCACTCCTTTGGCGGTTTCCCACTGGCTTGTCAGACAGAAACATCCCCTGTGCGTCAATGTGTTCTAAGACTGTGTTGTGTGTGTGTGTGTGTGTGTGTGTGTGTGTGTGTGTGTGTGTGTGTGTGTTTTAGACACACGGTAGAGTCTGTCTTTTTGATTTGTATGAGGCCGCTTTGATTTAGCGCTTATGTTGCCTCAAATGACATAACTCCAAAGCGTGTCTTGTGATATATAGATGTGCGTGTGGATTGACACAATGCTTCAGCCCCCCTCCCCTGCTTTCCTGTCACACACACACACGGACCACAGATGTCCCTCTCTCAGCAGCAGGAAGTGTTTGTCTTCATCAGAGGCCGGCTGGATGTGACAGCAGGACATCGGGACGAGACCTTAAGTTTCCTCTATCTGTCTCCTTCTTCCTTTGACTTGCACTATTTACTGGGCCTGCGCATTGCAATCAGAAAGTATCAGGACAGTGATAAGGTCATCACTGTTTCAGCTCTACTTTAGGACATTGGATTTCAAACCCTGTTGTAGCGAGCTGGACCTATCCTGCCGTGGAAGACCAGGGTTAGGGAACCCCACCCCCCGAAACAAACACCCCAATATAAAGATGAAGAGGTAGCACAACAACAAATGCATCGCTGTCCTAATACTTCCTGACCGCACCGTATAGTAAACCCTTCCTTGCTTGTTGGTCTAATCTTACGTTTACCTGTCTAGGAATAGGACGAGACTTAGAGTGGGGAAATCCTATTGGCCGTGTGTGTGTGTGTGTGTGAGTGACTGCTATAGATATGTTCCTGTGCGGGTGCTACTATACAGGCATCACATGTCAGCGTGAGTCTGTGTCATCCTCACTAATCCCTCTGATATGAATGAGTGGAGACAGACAAGAGGTTTCAGCTCACATGCATCGGTCAGGGGTTATTAGAAGGAATGTAGCCGTATACTAATCAGTCTAACCGCGATCTAGTATTAACACGGCCACAACACCACGCGTATGCATTGAGGTACTCTATCTATGCACACGATGACTGTTCAAACATGTTAAACAGGGCGAAACAAAAGCGTATATAATAGGCTGACGGCTTACCGCGTCATTGTAACGCTGAAAAAAGGCATTTAGACCAGCTCAACTTTGATTTGTAGCGCATCACGCCAGTCACGCAGAGCCAAGTGTCGTTTGTACCTTCATGTCGCTGACTCGTAGCCTGTTGCTGTGTCACTCGTAGCGTGAACATTGTTGGGGTTGTCTCCAGCACTTTGAGTTTCAAATGAAACAATGACTGTGTGGTTAAAGTGCTGACTTTCATCTTACATTTCAGTGTTTCCACCCGCCAGAGGAACGGGTGTAGAATGAATAAACTCATCACGTTTAATATTTAGTCTTAATTTAACTGTCTGAAGTCTTTGACCCACAGATACCAGCATGTCTGCATGTAACGGGTCTGATTTATTGTCCTAAAATTTGGGAACTTTGTAGAAAAATGTCTGCGTTGTACACTGTTAACACCTTCAAATGTAAGTTTAAAGACTGAACTTCAACCTCAAAGTCAGTGCTTGATTTAAAATTGAATTTACTGTAGTGCAAACGGGGAATGCAAAACGATGAAAATGTTTGCTGCGCCGTTAAAGGCCGCCGTTCACCTCTAGATTCTGAAATGCTTATCTGCGCTCGGTCCTTCCGTCATGTGTCTCCAGTTTCCCGAGTACCTGGTAAATGTTACATGAACTATCTGCCGCTCCATCTCCACTCGGCCTCTGTATTGTTTGTGTCCCCGGGGAAATATGGCCAGGAAAATCTATTTTTCCACTGCAGTAGTTTTTTCCTCCGAGAAAAACAAAAACTAACTAGTGAAAGAAAAAAGTGTTGTCGAGCCCCATTCCCATCTCTCCTGCGCCCCTCCCTCGCCGTTTTCTCATGGTCGATCTTTCCAAACCATCGCTTGCGTTCACAGAGGGATTAATGGTTTCTCCGAAGCCAGCCAACCCGTGGAGGGAACGGAGCCTTCGAGCGAATGAGGAACAGCTGGTCTCCCTCCGCTTGTGACAGCTTGAGTGTGTGTTTGTGTGCGTGCGCGATAGTAGCAGCGGACCTCTGCCACAGGGTCAGAAGGGCCGTCCCTGGTGTGAAAGTGGGCCTTCCTCCCATCGACTGTAATGTTAATTAACAATGGCTCTTTAAAAGTACAGCGAGAACTCTTACTCTGTTAATGCTCTGTGTGTCAATTAAGTTTTTCTGAATTCCTGAAAACAAGTTTCAGACTAATTTCATACTTAAAAATAGAGTGCACTTTTCATCAGAGCGTCTTGTTCCGCACGTGTTTATTTGAAGATTAAAGGGTCCTACATTAGAATTAAAATGACCGAACATAATAACCACACTGAAAAAGTAATGAATTAAGTGGCTTCTGCATGCTGCTTAACAGGCCTAAAGGTCACTGCTAAGCGCTAATGGCGAAATGGTGAGATGAGGTGTGTGTGTGTGTGTGTGTGTGTGTGTGTGTGTGTGTGTACGCTCCTCATGATATGTTATGATTGGCTGAGAAAATTCTTTTCCACTATTTTGGGAGATCGCACCATCATGTGTATTCCACTATCGGTCTCCTCCTCGTCCCGTTTTGTTTACAGGATGGCGGCGATGTGCGCTCGCTGCTCGCGCTGTAAGAATGGCTGCACTTTGATATGATCTCCCCAATTATCTGTCGTCAATTCTGCCGCGTATTATTCCTCTCTCTCTGCGCGGCAGCTGGGGAGGAGATTGGTTTTGTGCGTGTCGAACGGCAACAGCTGCATCCACTAAAACAGACAACTACCTTTGCAGTCCTCCCTTTTTGGTCTCCCTCCCCCTCTTTCTCTCTCGCTCAGTGGTGGGCAGGTCACCCTGAATTATTCATCAGTGTGAAATGAAAAAGCTCATGGATATTGAATATCCCCTCTGAAGTGGTGGCCAACCTTGTGTGTGTTTTTTTTCTTCTTCTTCCCTTTCTTTTTTTCCCCTTTGCAGCTGAAAAGAGTAAAGAGCGGCAGACCTCATTGCCAGGCTATTTCAAAGGTTAACCGATTGCTTTACCTCGCGCACGTATTTACTTTCTTCACGGTCCGTGGCCGGCATTGAGGGGTTGTAGAGAGATGAGGAGGCGCAGAGAATGAAGAAAAAGAGTGAGATAGTGAGGAGATGAAAGAATAGAACAGGGATCTGTGTTCCTGCAGATGTTTTTTTGTCCCTTTGACCCCCCCCCCCCCCCCCCCAGTGAGCCACCTCGGTGTGGAGCTAACCTCTCCGGTGGCGTGTTGCGAGGCCCGTTCCTTCCTGGAACGCCTGTGGTCGGTTGTGGTCGTCCTGATCGACCGGTTGTCATTAGTTTCCCATGCGGCCCACTGTGTTCCTCCATTGTCCCCCTGCCCGGTCTTTTGTCCTGTGGTTTGATCTGCGGCCCACGCTGCAAATCAATGCTACTGGTTGCCATTCATTCACCTCCGCAGCCAGCAAACACAGCAGGGACTCTCAGACCATCTCCCATGTGAGAGCGTATAAAATGAGAAAGAAAAAAGAAGATAAGTGGGGAAAAATCCATCAAGCCTTAGTTGTTTGTTTCCACAGATTTAGGACATTTTTGTCAATTTAGAATATTTGTGTGTCCATTTTTTTCCTGAAAATTGTCTATAATGCTGTTTCTGTGAAGGACGGAGACTTAAAAGAGCTTCCTTTATGCCAGAGAGCAGATGCTAAGATAATGAATCCATGAAATAAATAAAAACTACTCAAGGGCCGAGCCCCCTCCTCCCCTGTTTGGTATGTTGTACATGCTAATAGGACACGGAGTGTTTTATTCGTTCAATAATATCCGAGAGAGCAGCGCAGCATAACCCTGCGTCGCTCTCATTGGCCATTAGGTTGCTACTACCCTGTACCCTTTCAGTCATTACAGTCCATTTTCCTCCGCTCCCCAATTTGTACTGCAGCCTAGACAATTACACAGGAATCCTTTTAAGAGTATTCCCAAGCCGTACAAAAGACCAAGCAGCCAGAGCTTTAACTGGCAAACCTTTTTCAAAAGTATTCTTCACAGAGTTGTAATGACGGACAAATGCAGAGGGAGGGTAAAGCTATTTTATTTTCCTAGGAAATAAAACCAGTCGACTGATTTGTGTTCCAGGAAATGTTTTTGAGGCTCTGCATTTTCTTTTTTCTTTTTGCTTGTTTGAGAAAATCCTGTCACTTGCAGGTAATTGCGCTTTAGCTTAAGCGAAATGCACACAGGAAGCGAGGCAGCCTCGGCGTAGCTCGGAGGTGTCGGATGCTCCAGGTGTCGTATCGTGTGAACGGAACGCAAACTCCAGTTACAGTGGAGGTTTTTTTTGGGGGGGGGGGGGGGGGGGGGGGGCGGGGGGGGTTTGGGGTGCCCAGCCCCGCGGCGGGCG